CAAGTCATTAAGGTCCCACACTGTTGTAGGCTTATCCTCTACATAGTCTATATAGTCTATTAGTCTATAATCTATATTTCATCTTCTCAAGTGAAGAAGCATACTCATTTACTTGACCTTCAACGTAGGTTTTAAGCAGGGGAAAGAAAGGATGCACTTCAAAATTACAATCTCCAGCCCAGATCAATCTCCTGAGTTCTAAACATGTGTATCCAGCTGCCTCCCAGTCTGAGTCAGGAATCTGGACGCAGTTTAGCTAAGTCCTCTGGCTCAGGTTCTCATACAAGGCTGCAGTCAAGTTGCCCCCCAGGGCTGCACTCATCTCAAGGCTTATAGTGGAGAATCCATTTCCAAGCTCACTCACATGGCTGTTAGCAAGATTCAATTCCTTGCGGATTGTTGGACTAAGGACCTCAGTTCCACACTGGGTTCTGAACAGAAGCTTCCCTCAGTTTTCTGCCACACAAGCCCCTTCACAAGGCAACTCACAACATGGCAGCTGGCTTCCACCAGCATGAGCAGGCAAGACAGTGAGTGAGGATGAACGAGATGTAAGATAACCATCTCTTTGTAACCTCATCTCTGAAGTGATATCCCATCACTTTGGCCTAACTCATTCCTTAGAAGTGAGTCACTGGGTTCAGCCCGCACACAAGGGGAGAGAATCACACAAGGGCATGAACACCAGGAGGTGGAGATCATTGGAGGCCATTTTAGAGACTGCCTACTATGGTTCTCATTAGCATGTCAATCTCAGCAAGTCCAAATCTCAGTTATCTTCCCCTCAAACTTAGTGCTTCATATTCCCTAAGAAAATGGCAGTGCCATTTACTAAGAGGCTAAATCCAGAAATGGAGGCACCATCTTTGACTCCTCCTTCTTCAACATCTCCTTCTCTCCATTCCCTGCCCTCCATATACCATCCAAATAATCATCAAATTGTACCAACCATATTGCTAAAGTTTCTCTGGAATTTGTCTTATTTCAATTTCTGCCCCAACTGGAGTAAAAACTACTATCATCCTTTATCTGGACTACTTCCAGATTCCTATGTGGTCTCCTTGCTTCCAATCTTGATTTCATCCAATTCACTGACTACACTACTGTCTGAGAAATCTGTTAAAAAAATAATATGAAAGAAAAAAAAGAGAAAATCTGAATGTGGCCCTCCTCTACTTAAAGTTGTATTAGTAGGGACCATTCCTCAGTAAGCAAACCAGTACGGTACAGAGCTGGACTTGGGATCTAGGGACTATACTATTTACTCTTAATGCTGAGAGGCTTTCTCTATACAGGAAAAAAAGATGGCCATCGGCAACCACGAATTCATTTCCCGACAGTTCTCCCTGAGAAAAGCTACCACTGCCTCTGATGAGAAAAGTCCTAAGGATGGACTTATTGGCTCAATTTGAGTCACATGCTTATCACTGTGGCCAGAAAGACAGAAACTACGAATGATTCTACCTGGGTCATGTGAGGACCCCTGTGGTTGGACAAATGCAGTCTGTCACTAGAAGGAGAGAACAGCAAAAATCCGGAGAATGACAATTGCCACATCAAAACTCTTCAAGGCCTCTTATTCCCTTAAAGGCATTCCATGATCCAGCCCATTTCTAGCTTCATCTCTTCCCATTTTTCCATTGGTTCAGCTATCCTGAATGCCTTCCAGTTCATAGGACACACTCGTTTTTTGCTGCTTGGTCTTCCCACATACTATTTCCTCTGTCTAAAATATTCCTCCCTCTTTCCCCTTCCAGTTTTTCACCTGACTACCTCTCGTCTTTCAGATGTCCACTTAATTACTTCCTCAGGGGGACCTCCCTAATACCTAGAGTTCCCATAATGTCCCATACTCTCTCCATGATAATGCTCAGTTGGGCCTTGTTAGGACTAAAATCATCTGATGTTCCTGCTACATAGTAAGCTCTCTGAGGACAGGGATTGAGCCTGCCTTGTTCATTGTGAAACCCTAGGACCCAGCACCACATGTGGCATTTGTAAGTGTTCAACAAAAATGACTTGAGATAATAAATGAATGCGCTGGAAGAACCATAGACAAAATTGAAGGCAAAAGAGAAAACAAAAGGATAGTAAATAATATTGCTACCATTTATTAAGTACTTGCTGTGAACCAGATATTGTGCAAGGTGTTAACACATATTATTACGTCATTCAACTCTCACATCAACCCTATGAAGCAGGTGCTATTTTGATGCTTATTTTATTACTAAAGAAACTAAAGTGTAGAGAAGTTAACTTCCTTACATGATACATATCTGGCTTCCACATTCATGATAATGATAGCTAATTATGTAAATATTTATTGAATAAAGCGCATAGTACAATGCAAAGAATACAGGCCTTGGAGCTAGAAAAATATAAGTGTGAATATGAGCTCCATCACTTTCTAGCTGGGCACCTTCAGCAAGCTTCTGAATCACAGATTCCCCATATAAAAAATAACTGTCCTTAACGTTAGATAATGTAAATAAAGCACTTGGTTCAAAATAAGTATTACATAATGTTAGTTTACTTCCTTCCTAGCCCCTCCACTGTATATTGGATAGTGGAAATACAAAAGGAATTACACAATCTAGATTCTCAAAGATCTTCCCCTCCAGTTGGTGTGAGATGACTATTAAATATACCTGAAATTAAAGAGAATACGAAGCCAAATAGGAAATACTGCATAAGGCTCTGTGGTACAGATTATAAATTCAGAAGCTACATGATGACTGGAGTGGATCAGAGAAAGCTTCATAGGAGGAGAAAGGTGAAGAGATTCTGAGAGCTAAGATGGAGAGTGACAGAAAGAAAGGTGTTTTCTCCTCTCCCCACCTACAAGGGCACAAGCATATATTAGTAAAATCATGAAGCTGCTCCCTTAATTAAAGAAGGTGGATATGGATTATGGAAGACTTTGATGGCCAGTCTGTGGAGCTGAGATTTGATAAAGTAGGAAATATGCAGCTAATCACAGTTAGGGGTCACGGAAAGGACAGAATGAGGAATGAGAATAAATCTTATCTTTTTCATGGGAATATTGTGGATTCATTTTTTTTCCCTAAGAAGAAAGGTACTGCCTCTCCAAAATGTTATTCAAACTTATTTTTCATTTATATAAAAGGGAAGTAAAGCAAAAAGAAAACAGGCCTCTCGCCTCACCTCAGGCTGTAAAATAATCATCAAGAAAGAAGCAGAACCCAAGGCCTCTAATTGTGGCCCATAAAACTTTTTACATTACTAAATAATAAAGCCTCTACATACTGGCCCAAACCAGTCACCTTGGGCTTATTTATAATTCATCAGCTCAACTTTGTTTATAGACAGACTATTTGGTGACATATTTTAATAAACAAACGCCATTAAAAACTTTACCCCATGTAAAAGGTCAAGCACTCTCAAGGAAACATGGTGAATAACTCCATACAAAGATGCAAATTATAATTTCAGGATCCTGAGACAAAACTGTCTCATCCTTCCAATGTATCTTTAAAAATGCCCACTATAGGTATTTTTATATCCTTACCCTTTTACAGCTCATTACAAAGGAACTATCAATCAGTTCTATAGCATTCTTAAAACATTTTAAATGAGCCAATGTGGTTTCTTATTACACCCCAGTCTTCTCCCATTACTCCCTTTATTTCAGGCTCTAAAACTTGGGCATTATTTTCTAACCATATGCTTCATGCCATGCTGGGGATTATATAACTTTTTGTTTTTATCAAAATGGTACCCTTTTGGTTTAAGCTACATCAGGCTTTCCTTAAATTTACAATTCTAAAAAAATTACTTATAAAACAGAAGCAAAACTAGTGGGCCCAATTAAATAGAAAAATACTTTAAAAATGATAAGATGCTTTCTAGTGTTATTTTTTTTTACCACTTTACATTTGATAGATTTATAATAAAAGTGAATTATTTCCTTCCATAACTAAGTTGGTATGGAAAGTGAGAGAAAATACAGACACTGTTAGACTCAGAAATGCACTGTGTATTCTCATAGCTAGTGTCTCAATTTCCAAAATACACAACACACATGCTCATGAAATTTGAGAGCTTAAAAAAAATCGGATCATTCTGAACTCAAAGGCCTGGAAGATTTGGGGTAACAGATCTTTGGTCACCAGGGCGCTTTCGTCCTTTTTAATTTTTATAAATCACTAAGATTATTAAATATAATTAAAACCTGGCAGGAGTATTACTGCTATCCTGAGTATTTAAAAGTTTTTCAGAAATGTGGGTATGTAAATTTAGAGAAGAGTATAATCTCTCAAGGAATTACAGTATTATTTAAAAAACAAACGAAATACAGTGGCAAAGCGAGGAGATTCTTGAAAAACAGTGGCAAAGGGTGGAGATTCTTGGTGTTTCCAGCCTCTAAAAGGCTGCCAAATAGTCATGTGCAAATTTTAGGACAATTATTTTTAACAGGTGAAAGCGTTTAAGTGGATTAGCGTTTTTAACTGTCTCCTTGACAAGGATTTAATTTTACATTGATTTAGTCCATATTTCAAGGGCAGCCATGATCAATTTTTAATTTTTATTGTAATTATTATTAAAAAGCTCCCCACATGAAGGAACTGTTACTTTACCATGCGTTTGCGAATTCCCGATGAAAGGGGCTGTGCGCACTCAGGTAAGCTGTTACAGGCTAAAAGAAGTCTTTGCTTGCTTTATTGCCAAACACAGCATTAGCATCTCTTCCAGAGTCAAGGCTGCAACACACACCCTCACACACCAGTTTTGCGTCTGTCGCTATCGTTAAGCAAACGCAACTGCACAAGAGATATCTGTGAAATCGACCAATTTCTACTCCGCCACTTCCAGCCCAAATTTTAGAAACAGCATCTCCCGCAATAACAGGAACGAAGCGATTTTGGCAAATAGGAGACTCTCCTTCCCTGTCCCCTTACACCGAGGGGTGGGCTGGGCCTGCGGGGTAAGGAAGGCCTGACACCAAGCAGGGGGTGGTGGTCAAGAAGTGGCTCGCTCACCGCAGTGGATCCTTTCTTCACCGCTTCCTGGGCGTATTCCACTTGGAAAAGGTGTCCGTCTGGGGAGAAGACAGTGATTGCCCGGTCATACCGAGATGCCATCGCGCAAGGCTACCGCGATATCTGCTGCGTGTCCAACGCTACCACAGCGGAGGGCGCCGGCGGGATCCCTCTTGCCACCACCGGCTACGCGGAAGTGCTTCCTCAAGATGCCGCCAGGAAGTGCTCGCGCACGCGTCTCAAGATGCTGCCCATCTCGGAAGTCATCCCGCCGGCCGGCCAGTGCGAGGCTGTGCCTACAAGTTGGCAGAGTTCCTCCGCTACGCTAGCGCTTAGCGCATACGTTCCGGTTTTCCCACTACGAGGTTGCCCCGGGGTGGTGGCAGATCACTCCTGTTAGAAAAATGACTTCAAAGATTAAGGCTTAACAGTGAGAACTAAAGCCATTCGGTATTTTTGTTTTCACAGACCTCTTCAAGAACCAGTAGTAAGTTAAATTTCCACCTCTTCCTTTGAGCTTCAAATTTTAAATTTCCTTCTCTCTCTCTCTTCTTATGTCATTTTAACTCAAGAAAAGAATTATAATTTTCAAAATATTGTTACTTCTTCCATTTTCTGTCTTGTGACCAAAATAGAGCAAATGAGCAAATAGTCCATTAAAGAGTAAATAGTCCATCAAACTAATGCTAATGGAAGGAATTAATACTATTTTAATCAAAGTGTTTTTTGGGTTTTTTTGGTGAGGAAGATTGTCCCTGAGCTAACATCCATGCCAATCTTCCTCTATTTTATATGTGGGACACTGCCACAGCATGTCTTGATGAGCAGTGTGTAGCTTCCTCTGATCTGAACCCACAAACAGAGCCACCAAAGCAGAGTGGGTGAATTCAACCACTACACCACCAGTGGGCTCCAAAGAAACTTTTTAAAAGCCTAAAGCATGCTACTTTAAAAATATCTGAAAATTTATAGTAGAAAGTTTGTATAACTTGGTACAACGTTACTAGCTGAGAAACAACTCTTGTCTCTTTGTCCTCATCAATAAAATGGGAATATTTAAAAACCAGTAGGAAAGTGTTGTTCTGAAGTTTAAATGTGTTTCTAGGCATAAATAACTTAAAATGGTGCCTGGTGGGTAGTAATAGCCAGGTAAGTTTAACTATTATTACCTTCCATGCATTGTTTAATATATGTTATTTTCCATTGGGGAAGATCTTGAGCTTGGTGAAACCAACCTTAATGAAAAAGAACCTTAATGAAAAAAGAATAATTACCCACAAAGAGGAAAACTTAATACTCTCTATTGCAAATACTTAATTCAGAATTTTAGCTGACTACTAAAAGAAATTTGTATTTATCCCTCATCTTTTTTCTTTAATATTAGAAACTCTTGAAAAGTTTGATTCTACTGAGAAAAACAATAATTCCTGACCCAAACAACTCACTCTAACTTTTTAAGAGTTTCTGAAATTTTACAATGTTATGATAAACCAACATTTGCAAGAAGCTGTTAGTTAAGAAGTGTTTGAGTGGGGCTGGCCCAGTGGCTGAGTGGTTAAGTTCACATGCTCTGCTTCGGTGGCCCAGGGTTTTGCTGGTTCTGATCCTGGGCGCAGACATGGCACTGCTCATCAGGCCGTGCTGAGGTGGCATCCTACATGTCACAACCGGAAGGACCTACAACTGAGTACTGGGAGGCTTTGGGGAGAAGAAGGAAAAAAGAAGATTGGCAACAGATGTTAACTCAGGTACCCATCTTAAAAAAAAAAAAAGTGTTTTAGTGTTCTTGTTAAATAATCACCATTTTTTCTTTTCATCTTGAAATAATTATAGATAGGAAATTTCAAAAATGGTGCGGAGAAGTCCCCTGTACCCTTCAACCAGTTTCCCTCAGTGGTAATATTTACATAATTATAGTACAATAACAAAACCAGGAAAATGACATTGGTATAACCCACAGAGCTTATTCACATTTTACCAGTTTTATATGTATTCCTTTGTGTGTGTGTGTATGTAGTTCTGTGCAAGTTATCATGTGTAGATTGGTTTGGTGTAACCACTGCCACAATCAAAATACAGAACTGTTCTGTGACCACGAAGATTCCTTGTGCTGCCCACTTACAGCCGTCTCTCCTCCTCTCCCCAACACCTGGAGAGCACTAATCTATTCTTCATTTGTATAATTGCATCACTTCAAAAATTTTACATAAATGGAATCATTAAATATGTACCTTTTTTGTGACTTTTTATTTTAAGATAATTATCAATTCACAGGAAGTTCCAGTGATAGCACAGAGTCGTCCCTTGTACCCCTTACTTAGTTTACCTGATTTGTTACAGCTTATATAACTGTAGTATAGTGTCAGAACCAGGACATTGACATTGGTGGAAAATATTTGTATGGCTTTGACTGAAAGGCATTTCAAAAGTGTTACAATGTACTGTAGCATATATTTCAGAAATATGATAGCATTAAAATGTTGACAAGGATTAATTAACACATTTAGGATTCACATTACACAGCAGCTTAACAGTGTGGCTTTGGATAAATATATTTTACTTCACTAGAACCTGATTTCCTCACCTGTAAAATGAGGATAATAATGCCTACTTGATGAGGTTGTTGTGAAGAGCAGATGAAATAATGTATTAGTACACATACGGCAGTCCCTGACACAGATACGCTCTTGAAAAATGTTAACTGTTGTTATTAATTATTGAGTTAACCAAAAAGTTGATTATTCTGTAAGAGAGAAATTAGGAAGAGTAAAAATGTAGCATGAACTCATTTGTATATTTTTTAAAATTTTGTATGTACAACTATATGTTTCTAGATCTGTAGAGAAAAGAGTGAAAGGACATATACCAAGTTGACACAAGTGATTTTCTTTGCAGGAGCCCAGGGATTGGAAAGAGAGTGGGGAGACATGGTAAGGAGAGAGAAGTTACTGTTTTAAACTTTATATCTGTTTTATTTTAAAATTTTCATAGCAAGCATAATTTATCTTTATGGTTAAATAATGAGCACAACACAGTTTAATGCCTAGAAGCTTCCAGGAATGGCAGTCTTGATGTTTTGAGCCAAGTCTTCTATTGAGAACAACTAGAAATACTGGAAAACATTGTTTGTTTTGTTTTGTTTTTGCTGAGGAAGGTTCACCTTGAGCTAACATCTGTTGCCAGTCTTCCTCTTTTTTTTTGCTTGAGGAAGATCAGCCCTGAGCTAATGTGCCAATGCTCCCCTATTTTGTATGTGGGTTGTTGCCACAGCACGGCTGACAGGTGGTGTAGGTCTGTACTTGGGATCTGAACCCATGAACCCGGGCCGCTGAAGTGGAGCGTGCTGAACTTCACCACTACAAAATATTAACAAAATAAGTAAAACTTAACCTGACAAAATATTAAAAAATATATATATATTTATATATATATGTGCTGACTCCAAATAGCCAGCAAGGAAGAGGATTTGTAGTGCTAAGGTTCAGAAGAGAAGGAAAACTTGTAGGGGTAAGCCTAGCATTTTCCCCTTGAGGTATTTGCCGATTCCAATGCCTAGATGGAAGTGAAGCAGACCTTTGATAGACAAAAAGTAGAGTTCAAAGCCTGTCGGTGTAGGGGTCATGGTAAACATCTAGGCATTTGTTTGGGACCCAAAGGCCACAACCCAGAAGTAAGAGTGAACCAAAAATGTTCTGTTCTCACAGGGACTAACACCAAGTTTTTTGTTTTTTGTTTTTTTTTTTTTTTTGAGGAAGATTAGCCCTGAGCTAACTACTGCCAATCTTTCTCTTTTTACTGAGGAAGACTGGCCCTGAGCTAACTTCCATGCCCATCTTCCTCCATTTTATATGTGGGACGCATACCACAGCATGGCTTTTGCCAAGCAGTGCCATGTCCGCACCAGGGATCTGAACCGGCGGCAAACCCCGGGCCGCTGAGAAGCGGAACGTGCAAACTTCACCACTGCACCACCAAACACCAAGTTTTGTATCACCTCAATCTATGATTGGAATAAAGCAGTGTTTCTCAAACTCTGGTCCACAGATCTTTTGAGGTACCCAAAAATCTTTCAAGGGATTCACGATGTCAAAAGATAGTGATAATGTTAAAACAGTATTTGCTCTTTCACTGACTGTCTACATTGACAGTGCAAAAGAAATGGGTAAAACTACTGGAGCCTTAGCATGAATCAAGGCAGTAGCACCAAACTGTACGAGTACACATTGTATTCTTTACTACCAAGCACCCGTGAAAACAAATGTCAGTTTCATTTATAATGGCATTGAATAAGCAGTAAGTTATTAATTTTATTAGATCTTGACTCCTGAGTACTTATGTTTTTAATATTCAGAATGACAAAAGCGGAAGTACATGTAAGGCACTTTGGCTGCCTTCAAAGTAAGATGGTTAGCTTGAGATAAAGCATTTTTGTAAATCTGAGTTGCTAGATGATCTAGCCCCTTTCGCATGGAACACCATTTATACTTGAAAGAATGACTGACACACTGTGGTTATTCAGAGTTAGATATTTGGGCAGACATTTCTTGAAAATGAACAAAATTAGCCTATCACTTCAAGAAAAACAACAGATAGTCTGTGTTTCCAAAGATAAAATCAAGCTTTTAAGCAAAAATCAGAATTTTGGAAGACTTGTATCCATCACCATGAACTTGAAAACTCCACAATTAAAGATTTTACTGATGAGATTGGTGGTGATGTTAGAATGTGATTTTTTACATAGTTCTACATTTGGAAGATATGCATAATGCAGTGAAGCAGTATTTTCCAATGACAGAAGTATGATACACAATCATGCATAAATAAAAGAGATGTTCAGATTGCTACATAGACTAATGGATTTTAATGTAACAGAGTACTAAATGTTCATTGATCATTTTAGATTACAAATTTCAACTAACTTTAAGAAACTACCACCTTTTGACTGTTTGTCTGGTAACAAAGAAAATCCAATGATTGAAATCACTGAATGTTTGATCTGAAGTGATTTAAAATGGCTGTAAAAATACTCCTCTATTTTCCAATACATATCTTTGTAAGGTTTTTTCCCCCAGTATTTCAATGAAAATAACATATTGCAACAGTTTGAATGTAGAAGCAGATAGGAGAATCCAGCTGTATTCTATTGTCAGACGTTATAATTTCATTCTTCTCACTATTTTTTTTAAATTTTGGAAAATATAGGTTTTTAAATTGAACTATGTGAAATGTGTCAATATGTAATGAGTTTAATATTTT